ATACACGGAATTCTAATCCTCAGCTCTTCAGGGAACTGCTGCATACAGACTACTGTTTGAGCACCAGTGGAGGCAACAACAGTTTACTCATAAATGGCAAAAAATGGGAACTTATTTAACAGTGAAAGAATTTAATGAGTTCTTAATATATAGCTTTTTTTCTACAAAAAGTAAATTTGCTTTCACGACCTCAAGATATCTCAAAGTACTTTCCATCTTACTCTTAAACTGCAGTTATTGTTGAAAAGAGAGGCACACTGCTGATATTTTGGTCTTTCACCCATCAGGACAAATGCAAGAATACCAAAACAAAAATAATCACAAGAATTTATACTATAGTAGGAGATGCTGCTGATTGTTTGGCAAGTAGACTATGATTGACCGAGGCATTGATGTCGAGAGTACAATGTGAAATTATAGGCACTCTGAGCTTCCAAGTAATTGAAAAAAACGTTCAAGACTTAAGCATACTCCTTTTGATTGGGAAGAAAAGGTTCTGCTTATGAACGGTGGCTCAGTGGTTAGCACCGCTGCCTCACAGCACCAGGGACCCGGGTTCAATTCCACCCTCGGGCGACTGTCTGTGTGGAGTTTGCACGTTCTCCCTGTGTCTGCATGGGTTTCCTCCAGGTGCTCCAGTTTCCTCCCACAGTCCAAAGATGTGTAGGTTAGGTGGATTGGCCATGCTAAATTGTCCACAGTGTCCAGGGATGTGTAGCTTAGGTGGGTTATAAGGGAATGGGTCTGGGTGGGATGCTGCAAGGGTCGGTGTGGATTTGTTGGGCCGAAGGGCCTGTTTCCACACTGTAGGGATTTTCTGATTCTAATATATGTTGCATCTTACAAGTATTAATGAACCATATTATGAGTTTGACTGATCTATCTCAAATTGATTGTGCTCATAGTTATGCCAATAATCAGGATAACCCAGCAAGTGCTGCCTAATCTCAGAATCATTGCCTACAGCAAATGTTTTATTTTGGATTTTGAAAGTATAGCTGGTTGCGTATTGTTTATGTTTTGATTATTAAGAGTAACCAGTAGGACATGCTGTTGGGATGGAAGCCTATGTATCTAGCATTGCAACTGCACTGAAAGTAAAAGGGTGAAATGTTATCAGGAGTAGCTGGGAATGTGGAGTTATCAGATTATTGAATAGCAGATCGGGTTCAAGGGGATGCGTGACCTATTTCTTCTCCTAATTTATGTATTTGTATGTATGTTCATATTTGATGTAGTTCAATTTTGTGGTAGATTTTGCGTTTGTGGAGTCATTCAAATTGGACTGGGAGCTATCTAGACTGGCACACTGGTTGAGGTAGCCTTTCACCCACTTGTGCGTTTGTCTACGTACAACAAGCAATGTTGTGATCTGGATATCCCTATTTGTTCATCTTCCACATGACACACAAACAGAGAATATCAAAGGTATCCATTGAGGCAATGGTTATCCTGATCGGATCATTGTTTGTTGTGCATTTTGCAGGATCACAAGTGGGCCTAAGGCTACCACTTTTGTTAATGAAAAGTTTCTGACCTCAAGTTGTCTTGGAAAGGTAAAACATTCTCAAAAGTTGAACAGGTTGAGAAAGCTGTTTCATTCTGCTCCCATGTAGTGGCTCTTGTGTGGTATTTTCCACTATCAGGATGTTGCAGTTAACCCAAAATAACAATTTGCCTACCACGCATTAAGCAATCTTAAGTTTGAATTTCAGTTTTTGTGCAGTGCCAGGTACAAATGCTGTAAATACCAATAATTGGCTGATGGAATCAATAGCATATTCCATCAATTAAGGCAATAATCTGTGTATAAACTATAGACAATCAGCCAGCATTTTTAAACCTGAAAACATGTCCACTGTTAAAAGTAATTCTGCAATTGTAAGCCTCTTGTTGTACAATCCTGAGTGCGCTTATAACTATACTTACAAACAATTTAAAATTTTCAGCCAAACTCATAACATTGTTCATTAACTCTTGCCAAAAACACAAATCATCCTTATGCAAGGAACCATTCTCTGTGAACAAAATGAACATGCCTAGTTCTTTTTATTTGAATTAACTGGGAGTTTGGGAAGCCTGCTTCTTTCTACAAAGTAATGCCTCAGCCAAGCATAATAAATTTGTCAGGCAATCCTATCTACACCCATTGGTCCTGTAGTATCTGTTGCTGTGATCATTTAAAATGTTAACATTCTTGCATTTATCCTGATGACCATAAGACCATTACACACAGGAACAAAAGAAAGCCACTCAGCATCTTGATTCTGCTCCACTCTATCTGATAATCTTCAAGTCTACTTTCCTGCCTTATCCCCAGAAATTCTGATTCCCTTGCTGATGAAAAATCTTTCTATATTAGTCTTGAATAAACTTAATGCTGTAACAGGCCTCTGTGGTAAAGAATTCCACAGATTCATTGATCCATCTGAGAAATCATCCTCATCTCTGCCTGAAATGGGTAACCCTTTACTCTGAGATCTTGGTCTAGACTCTCACGAAAGAGGAAATAACCTCTCCACATCCCATCAAACCCCTAAGAAACTTACATGTTTCAATTAAGTCTCACCATTCTTCTAAATTCCAATGAATTAGAATTTAGCCCTACCAATTAAACCTCCCCTCATAAAAATAAATCCCTCCATACCTGGGATCAAACTGACAAACATTGTCTGGACTGCCAGTATACCTTTCCTTAGATAAGGGAACTAAACCCGTTCACAGTATTCTAGGTGTCATCTAGCTAGTGTCTTGTTTATCTTCAGCAAGTTGTCTCTATTTTTGCACACCATTCACTTTGAAATAAACGTCAATATTGGATGCACTGTCCCCTCATGACTGGCAACAGATGCTGCAACACTAGCCCATGCTGGCCTGGTCCAAGGCTTCCAGCCAGGTCAGTGCAGTCCCAGTCATCTGGAGGAATGTCCAGCAATGAGGAAGAAGGTCAATGACTGTTTCCACTCTGTCAGCATATTTTCCTCTGTCTTTTTTTGGTGCCTCACACTTACTCCACCTCTGCTGCTTTACCTACCTCTTACCAAGGCTCATAGACTCCAAATAGTCCACGACTATCATCTTCCCAAACTAAATTAGTCCCACCTGCCTGTGTTTGTCTCATATCCCTCCAAACCTTTCCTATTTATGAACTTATCCAAATGCCTTTTAAATGTTGTAACTGTATCTGCATTCACCACTTTCTCTGGCAGTTCATTCCACATAAGAACCACCCTCTGTGTAAAAAAAGCTGCCCCTCCTGTCCTTTAGAAATCTTCCTCCTCTCACTCTAAAAATATGCCCTCTCGTCTTGAACTCCCCTAGCCTAGGAAAAAGACCCTTGTCATTCATCTTATCTATGCCCCTCATGTTTTTATAAACCTCTATAAGGCCACCCCTCAACTTCCTATGCTCCAGTGACAATTGTCCCACTCTTTCCAGGCTATTTTTATATCTCAAACCCTCAATTTCCGGCAACTACCTGACAAATCTTTTCTGAATGCTCTTCAGTTTAAAAATATCCTTCCTATAATAGGGCAACTGGAACTGGAAACAGTACTCTAGAAGAGGCCTCGTCAACATCCTGTACAACCTCAACATGACGTCCCAACTCCTGTACTCAAAGGTCTCAGCAAGAAGGCAAATGTGCGAAATGTCTACTTAACCACCCTGTTGACCTGTGACGCAAATTTCAAAGAATTCATACGCTACCACTTTCAGTGTTATCTGCAACATCTTCCCCTCACTCACTCTCACCCATCCTAACCCCTGACAGCACTTACCCTGCATGCTCTCTGCACTGCCTGCTCACTCACCTGAGATTCTTACACAACTGCACCGAAAATTACAGCAGTGTTACTATGTTTATTTCCCTTATTAACTGCCTCACTCTAAATCCAGGAAGGCCAAAAGAGTCAAGGTTGGTGGTGCCTGCCTGGCATTTGGCTCCTCACCTATTATAAGGAGAAAATCCCAAGGGCTAACTGACCATGTTCAAACCCCTGGAGGCTGTCCTGAATAATTGTGCCAGGACCCCCTGACTGAATACTATCTCCCTTGACTTGACTGAGGCTAGCTGGCAACCATAAGAAGTTTCCTGACTTTGTGTCTGTGCTAAACCACAAGCCAATACAGCAATATTGTGAGATAACAAGGTGTAGAGCTGGATGAACACAGCAGGCCAAGCAGC